TTATATCTTTGAAACTCAATAGATTCTCTTAGAACTGGGTGAGTATAGAGCATCTAGTATTTCTAGATGTGTGCCCTGAGATAACAACACATGGGCTTGGCCATGGCCGGCTAGGAGGCTCGATGTACCCGCTATTGTGCTGATGTTTGCGGTTTTTAATGTGAGATTTATGAAGTAACCCTTGTCTTTCAATATGGTGTGGCTGGATCCACTATCCACCACAATAATATTCTTGTTCTCGTTCATAACTTCAATTGACAAGAGATGTGACTTAGATAAGTATATAAAGCAAAACCATTGCATTGATAATAAATGAAACATAACGAGTTCATCAAAATAAATGAAACATAACCAAATGAAATCTTCAAGTCTTAAAATAAATCAAAAACAAAAGCCAAAATCCATCAAAATAAAGCAAGTATCCAGATGTCGAATTTAATTATCTCCTTTCAGGAGGTCCGAGGTCTCGAAATCCATGAGATCGTCATTTTCATGGTTGAAGTCACCTTCATCATCGTGGTGAACCATATTAGATTCATCATCTTGGTGAACCATATTAGCTTCGGGATTCACTTTCCCATGTTTTTGATAAAGATCACGAAGGTACTTAGGAGTGCGACACGTCTTAGCCCAATGATTTGTCATTCCACACCGGAGGCAAGGTGAATGATTGGTCGAGCGGTTTGAGTGAGATGGTTTGGAGATTCCGCGACCTCTACCACGACCATAACTGAGGTTAGGTCGGTTGCCTCGGCCTGAATTACCGTGGAAATTTCCACGGCCATTGCCACGTCGACCTCGTCCATTTACACGACCATGGCCGGAGTTTCTGTCACGTTGGGCATAGTTGGATTCCTTTGTGTCTTTCACGGCTCCTTCAACTTGATGGGCCTCTGGTATCGGGGCTGATCCCGGGGGTCTTTGAGCACTGTTCCTCATTAGTAACTCATTATTCTTCTCGGCAAGAAGTAAACAAGAGATCAAATCCTCATATTTCGTGAATTTCATTGCGCGGTATTGTTGCTGAAGCACAATGTTTTGAGTGTGAAAAGTTGACAATGTCTTTTCAAGTAGATCATTGTCAGACACTTCATCGCCACAAAGTTTCATGAGTGAAACGATCCGAAACAACTCGGAGTTGTAGGCGTCTACGGATTTGAAATCTAGAAACCTTAAGTTTTTTCCAATACGAACTTGGCTTGGGGCAACAACACCGTTTTCTGGTGGTCATACCTCTTTTTCAATGCCACTCAAAGTTCAAGTGGATTCTCAAGTGTGAGCATATTGATACGGAAGGCTGTCGGCTAGGTGATGGCGTATATGA